ATGGGTTAAGTAAAAATACATTGTTTAACACATAGTGCATGATTTGATGCATACAGACCTCAGCAAATAGTAATGTACTTTTTCTTTTGCAACAGGGAGGACAAGAGAAATTTTTTCGTAGTTAAGGGAATGCAAATTAGCAAATTGCTGTGAACCTCGCGTGAGCCTGGTCAGTGTTTATGCGACAACTTAAAATCGATCCTGATATGCAGGTGTCACATGCACGGAATTCATTAGTAAATCGATAAGTAACGGTATACTTATTTCACATAGTCAATGTATAATAAATCCATTATTTCTCATTGCAAAAAAGTATGCGATAGAAATTGTCATAAGTTACATTGAACAATTGATGTCTACTAATGTCATGAAATTATTGCGTGACTTCTTCGAAATTAGGAAAGGCATGTAAATAATTATTAAATCCAATAATGAGTCTTATTCCTTAAATATGGTCTCGTATCATTTAAATTGAAACCTTACAAGTACTCTATGCTATTTCCAAAATGTTTAATATACTCAAATGATTTTGCTCGATTTATTACAATTAATTCACAATCACTTGATACAACGTTTTACATTAGCTGTAATAATATCTTTGTTAAATGACAGTTTCAATATTAACGGAATATCATTTATATTTCATATGCATTTCAATTGCTGTTCTAAACTATTTCCAATCGAGACATACAAACCAACTATTTCTCTCGACTATTTCTAATTAAAAGATGCAAACCAACTCATTCTCTCAATTATTTCTAATCAAAACATACAAAAGGAATTATTTCTAGTCAAAACATGCAAACCAATGATTAATCATTAATATTACTCGGAAGAACTAATTGAAATCTATACGTTAATACGTGCAAATAAAAATTCTAAAACATTGGGAGATTTATTTAATACAGACATACTAAATTCATGGTTTCCTGTACTAAAACCATGTTCAACTGCATTTAATACCTTATTCTCACCTGTCTCATTAATATAAGAACGTCGACAATGTTTACGTTTAACTTTATTTCATAGTTTCTCGTAGTGAGCCACGTCCGAACAAAATAATTGTTCCGCTTATATTATTCCTCGTTCATCGGGAGAACTAAATATCAGTTATCCTGCATTACCTTGGCAAAGAAAAGAGATTGAAACTCGTGCTCTTCCAACCGTGTTTATTTCACGATAGGAAGCTGTATTTTACATAATGGCATTATTCTTCTCCGTGGGATAGCTGTGTTAACGTAGCTACCTTCCTGGTGCTGGAGTTTCCTTTGTGAATATTATTCAGATTAATCCTCTTAAAACAGTAGAACAGAGACTTACGGTAATGCATTTTGACTATATAAAGAGTTTCGATAAGGGACTGGACAAAAAGACAGCAAGTACCGGCACACTAGCATTCTTTTCGTGAAGGAAGCAGAATCCGCCTTCAAAAAGAATGGTAGTGCATCGTGACAAGATATTTATCTTTTAATGAATCTTCACGGTTTTCTCTGTTGCCAGTGCTTCCACAAATTCAACGAAAAGGGACGGTCTCTGGTTGAAAGATGCAAGCTATCTCGTTTAAATAATGCTCAACAATTCTTTTTATTTGGATGTTCATTTCAAAAGTATAGTAGCGACATATCGATGTAGTAGTAACAATAATTATAGTCAATATAATACGCATGACTATAATAGATAATTAATAACAAGTTGATATAATAGTAACCATAGTACAGAAATTACAATAAACGTAATTGCCATTGTCGTAGATTATTGCCAAATATCTGACAGTATCTTCCACTAATTAATGAATTAAATTATAGTGTTGTGGGATATTATTCTATTACAAATATCATGTTCGATAAATACAATATTGTTATTGTACATTGTAAAAATAAAATTCTTCACGCTCCTCCTCTATTATTAAATATTAATCAGAAGAAAGTGGAATTTTATATATTAAGAAATGAATAACATTAATATTCACTGAATACAATGTGAACATTTCACAAGTCTGATTCAATATTATAAAGCAAAGGGTTAAAAGTCCACAAGCAACCATCATGATGAAGGTCTCGGCAATTCGTTTATCAGCCATTTCTTCCAGTTGCAACGAGAGATAAATTCAAAACGAATGCAAGAAGACCGCCGCGTTAGTATCGACAGAACAAACAGTTTTTCCTATTTTTATTACACAGACAATACACCATGCATCGGTTTGTTCGGCGTGTTTACGCGCCGTGGGAAAGCGGCTTAGTGGTCAAAGGCTGCTACCACGGAAGCAAAAGATCCTACGCTCAATTCCCTGTCTGGCACTCGATCGGCCAATTTTTTGCTCTAATTTATTGCAGGCAGGTGTACACACCGATGAATCCTCGGAGGGACTACAAATCCTTAACGAAAAATAGAAGGGACGAGCAAGAGAATAAACGACACGAAAAAAAACATCAAACGCAGCCCCTAACTAACGTGCGTTTCTTTCAAGATATGCCGCGACCGAAATGACTCTTGGAGATTTCTCCGCCGGCAGCTGATGAACAGATTACACCCGTTTGAAGTTTGAAAGGACGGAGCGATACCGGAAGATCACACGAAAATTAACAGGGAAATTTTTGAGTTAATAGGTGACGAGGCGATTCCTATCTTTTTAACTTCGCCGAACGAGAATAACGATCGCGAGGATAACAAGATTTCAATGCGCCAGCTGTATTATACGAAGTAAAAAATTAGAAGTTTGAGATTTGAAGATTTCGTGATGAATTGTATTGGCATCAGTGGTGTTTGACTTGATTCTCTAAATGATCGCACGTGTTAACCGCGCAAAATATATTAAAATTTTGTATAGAAAAAACAATATTAGCAGGTTATTAAAATATTCAATGTATTAAGTGTAATATTAAGTATAAGAATTTCATTATTGCGCACGAGAATTACGAAATTCTTCATTTCTACTGCATCTATCTTCGACATATTATGAGAAAAGGTCATCGAATTGAAGAGATCGCGTCAAAAATATTTTCAGTTTTATCAATGGACTAGGAATATTTGTCCAAATACACAATTTTAGAATTGTTCATTTGACTCGGGACTACAGTAAACCCGTGTTCGATCAAAATGGTCATTTCCTTGTTCCTCAAGATCTTCGCACGCTATAAGTGAAGTTTCAATGAGCAGTTCACTTATCGATCTCCTCGTGTTTGCCCAGTTTCCGATGAAGCTAGTTGGAACAAATCAATTTTGCTGCTTCCATAGAGGCAAAGAAACAACTGGAACTAAGCTAAACGCGATTCGCCCATTTCACAGCGAACAGACATCCGTCAGGCTCCGATGTTTAGTTTATCTGAGCAGCCGTTTGTCCCGGGGATGTACGTCATATCCGCGGTTGGTCAGCCAAGCATGTTTAGAAGTGGCGCGGAACTTCATGATGCGGTGCAGAACTTTCGGAAACTATTGTCTTTTTGCATATCGGGGATCCTCGAAACTTCGGAGCCGACGCAGGAACGCAAATAACTCGACACTGTCTTCCGTGCGCAAACACAAATGCCATAGTTGTTAAACTATGCACCAGGACGCATTCACTTGACTTGAATGACGAGGTTTTATAAGACGTGGCGGTGTGGGGACGGACAGGAAGAAGCTAACACCGTATCTTACAGGAGTTTGCTGCAAACGCTGGACCAGTGTTTCTCAAACTGACACCGAGGGACAATTTGAATATTTTACGTGGCAGTTGGAAAAAACGCTGGTAGCCTCGAGAAGCACATCCCGCGGATCAACATGAAATTTTGAGGGAAGAGAAAAAAGTGGTTTGTTTGAAGCTGTCATAGTCAAGAATGGGGTTGGACGTTTATGGATATGAAAGTGCAAAATGCCACGGAATACGTACAGTTTGAGAGAATATATAAAATTTGGAAAATGTTGTGCTTTTTACAATATTCGCTGGGGGGAACTGTTTTCTAGCATAATCGAACTTTTATAATTATTAATTATGATCGTCGTTTGTAATGATGAGTGATCAAAGTGTAGATATAACTATTATTTTGAATTTTATGTAGTGACTTGTAATCACTTTTGTTAGATTGTTGATCGAATGAAGAGATTTACGTACGTTTTTGGAAACATTGATTGCTTGCAAAGATATTAATGGATTCTTAATGTTATTATTTTATGTATACTTGCAGAATAATTACAAGTAATCATTATAATTACGTACTGCAATAAGTAATTACCGCAGAGTGGAGAAAGGATCACAGATGTAAAATTTGACTTTCGGATTTTAATTTATGTTTTAGGCGTTAATTACTTTCACGCAATGCATTGAATTCTGCATAGACGAAAGGTATGTTTTGGTATAATATTTGAAAAAATAATAAAATTTTCTTTAACAAAAATGTACATTTATTAGCAAGGAACTATTAATACTGTAATTGTAATATTCTGAGGTGTATAAATATTTACACTGTAATCGCATATATTAATATTAAATTTTCTTCTCGCCTTGATTTATGATTATATTTTTCAAAAAGGCATGAAGTTCTTTAAGACATTAAAGTGGATCATGAGTCAAGAAAGTTTGAGAAACACTGCGCTATATGTCTCACCCCTTGTTCCATCATCAGCCCACTTATCTCCGCTACTATCGAGGTCAAGTTGAGTTAACTCCAATATCAATCAGCACTTTATATGGGAAAGCGTTCGGCGATTAATTGTTAATTCAAGCGGAAGCGACGTTTCATGTACGTTTGGAGAAATTATTAATTACTTTTTAAATAAACCAATGACAAAATCAATTCATCAAGAATATAATTTTAGAAAATCAGACTTACGATAGAACATTAATTTTTTTACAAGTATTGCATTTGTTATTTACAACTTTGCATTTTCAAATTTCCCATAAACGCACAAAAGACTGACAGTGTATTGATTACTGACAAAGATATCAGTGAATTTTTAAGATTAATCTTTTATTTCTACTTATAAGGTAATTATAACTAAATATAATATGTTGATTGCATAAATAACATTAGTATTTCAAATTCTGATGTAACAGCTTTTTATAATCACCTTTGCTTCATTATCAGTCATAAAGGTAATACTTCGCATATGCTTGAAATACCATTGATTACTCGTAAGAATATCAATGAATTTTTAAGATCAATATTTTATTTACATGTATAGGGTAGTTACAAATTAATTGGAATTTATTAATAGCACAGATAAAGTTTGTATTTCGAATGTTAGGTAATGGCTCCGTATAATAACCTTCTAATCGTTTTTAAATGTCCATGAAGGGATATCGTAGAGATATAACGTAAAGATGATCGCTGAATGGGGAACTTAATATCCTTGTATAAGACGATATATAAACGGGACTACATAAACTGAAATTACATGGACATCAACGAAACGTGAGAGCTAGTGGAATAATAATCTTATCAATTATTTGCGGTCTCTGTTGAATCTTTTAACGCAGCAGACGCTTTCTATAGTACATCGTATACGTACAGTGGAATCATTTAACACAAAAACTACCGAGCAGTTAAACTGTTTGAAATTTCTTCATAGAAACTCCAAGAATGTATCTATTGAGAATTATCATACAATTCAGTTGGCGTAAATCATATTCTTTAATAATTTTACAGAGAAACATTTGTTATCTTTTTAATAATTGCGGAAAGAAGTCAGGAATAAGTCATTTTGACTCGTCTGGTAGTTCTAGTGTTAAATTCCACCTTAATCATCTATATACCCATGGTGACTACTGAAATCTCGTTGATTTACTTAATGTTCTACCGCAAAATACCGAATGAAATTGAGTAATTAATCAACTTAAACTTTTAAACACACAGTAAAAGTTCAACGTCATTGTAACTTTAGAGTTACAAGATATATTCGTTTTAATGAAAATATTAAATCCATGGAATACATCGTTAATTTGTATTTATAGGTTGATATTTATTAATTTCCTACTGCACAAATTTTGTTATCACGAAAAGAAAGTTGGCCCATAGACAATTAATACGTAGGTTAATGCAAAATTTTCGGGAGTCCACGACATTCAGTTACTTTCGTAAAGTTTCACATTTTTAAGGTTAGAAACTGCTGAAACAACGCAATGGAAAATGTGTTACTGTTGAAGGAGAATATTTGGCGAAACATTAGAAGCATTAGCTGAAACTCATTTGTGACTTGTCCCATATTTTCCCGAAACTTGCAGTAACCCACGTGTGTACGTTGCAACTGGAGTACGGTAAATATATCAAAATTTCATCGGGATGCGTAATATGGCAAACGAAATGATATTATTGCAGGATACGAATTTTATATTCACAGTTAACATTGAATTCTGAAGTTCTCCGATAATTATACCATCTTACGTTTCGTGCTCGCAGATAATTTTCCTTTATGATGCTTGTCCTACAATTAAATAAATTCGGAAATATTAATATTCCAATGCGGAGTATAATCGGAATCATCGAATAAATATTCTAGATGAATAAGAGACTCATTAACCAGTTCACTGTGGAATTTAGTTGGAAAAACCTCTGGTTCTACGCGCAATGAAATCAAAAAATGGAGCGTGTACTCGAACGCAGGACGAATGCACGTAGAGTATATTTTAACGAAAGATCAAAGCGAAACAAAGAAGAATTATATGTTTACGTGAAAAAATAAAGAATTCATCGCTGAAAGAATTAGTATCATGTCAAGCTTTACGATGACGTGTATACTCGTCAAACACAGTTAACTGGTTAAAAGTCAGTTATAAAAATAATGAATCAAAAGGCAAACTTATTGATGTTTCATTACTTACGTATTTTTCTAAAGCGTGAAGCATTTGCGTGACTAACGTCAACATTTTCAGTTCCATGAACTGCCTGGATGTGACCCTTGTCGAAGCCATTGATCTCGAATGATCGAACAACGATGCGATGGATTGCAACAAGAAAGCTAAGAATGCCAGTGACGCTAGCACGCTCAGAGGATCAAAAAGACTGAAACGAGATAAACACTGAATATGATTTAACATTGTTTCGTTTAAGACGTACTTACGGATAATAAGTCGGCGTCATTGCTGTTGCATGCCCGGTGTAATAACTTTTTCTTTGAATATCAGTGAATATATCATTGAATCCAGGAATCTTCGGAATGAAGAACAAACAATAAAGAGATTCTCATTTATAGTCAATTTTATAGTTTGATAGTGGGATTGGCGAACCATCGAATGGAAATAATGTCATTCTTCTCTTCAGCAAATATAGTATTGCAAATGTGTATTGTATTTTTACTGTTATTAGTAGATTTTTATAATATTTTATTTTCAATAAAAAATATTCTATTTTTACTATTATTAATACGTTTTTATAATACTCTACTGCCGTTTAAAAATAATCTATTTTTACTCTTATTAGTGAATTTTTATATTACATTTCCATTTTTATATCATTCTACTTTCGTCTAAGCAATGTTCTATTTTCAAGTTAAACATATTCTACATTTATTATTACTAGTAAATTTTCATGATATTCTATTTTCACTGTTACCAGTATTACATTGCATATAATTCTATTATTTCCTATTAATTTTAATTTAAACTGCATCGCTATAAATTTCCATAAGAAAAGGTCAATCAAAAAATATATTCCCATAAACATTTACATCAATTTTACCTCGTAACCCGCAAAAGATAAAACTAAGAAACATAATTTAATCAAATAAAATCACATTAACACGTCAACTGCCACGGTGGTCACCGAAGCTTCGAAATTATTTAAATACAATTACAATAAGAGAACTGTGGAGTAAAAATATGTAGTAACATAAATAGCTAGATGATAGCGTAATACTAGTATTGTGATAGCGAATCATTAATAATTAGTTTTAATGCCATTCGCTTTTGTTATAAGAGAATACGTATTGATATACAAAACGTTCGAAATTCTCGTGACAGTGAACGCCTTAAAAACATCTAGTATCCAGTGTTTTAAAGGAAAAGTTTACCAATCCCTCGTTTATAAAATTCTTCTTTTAAAGCACACTACGTACAGTTCTAGCAGCAACCGGATAAAGTTTCTGCGTGTCGAAATTATTCGCCATGTAAGAGGCGTTCGTTAATGCACCGCAAAAGATGGAGCCAAATATTTCAATGATCACTAGAATTTTAAACATTCTTCCGCTGGAGATAATTTCGACGTTCGCCACGGTACTCGAGGAACTTCACTTCTGCCGCTTTTAGCGTTTCGGTTATCAGTGGCTTCGCGATTAAAACGATCTGTCCGCTGCTCACTGCCAACAGATAAACTGGTCGTCGTTCTTCCGACGTTCCTTTCTGCCACTGTTCATATATTTATAGTTTCCGAGGCGCATTACCTGCGCATTATCTCACTGCATGCTCCACTTACCCGTCACGGGACAGTTTTGTTACTCTTCTGGAATAAAATGTACGCAAATTGAGCGCTTCCCGTGTGACGAACGCGTGGAACGAATACAATGAACAGGATGGAGGAATAAAAAGGTCATTGTTTTAGGGGATGAACCTGCGACTTGGATCGATGGTGAGTTGCCAAAAAACGGAGGTATCGTGAAATTATTTTCACGCTCAAAAATGAATGTCGATTTTACTACCGGCTGCGAAAGTTTTTCATCAATTTTTAATAGAGAGTTTTAGTATTGATGACCCTGGGGTGCCCCCATATATTTTTACTACCCTTCACAGAGAGTTTTTAATCTTCGAATATATAGGGAAATTATATTCACGCGTGTGCTTAAAATTGATGAAAAATCGCGTAGGGTTCGCATGTGTGAACGGATCAGCGTAAGTTTTCATTTTCATAGCCATCGATTTTTATGAAACGCAATATACCAATTGAACGCTGAAAAATACTTGACACACATCTCTTTTGTTGCTCGACGTTTCGATCCAGAAGCCGGAAACCGTGCCTAAATTTTCAAGTGGAGAACGCGCAGATTTCGGGAAATAATTTCGCGTAAATGGATCAAGTGTTCGAAAGCGCACAATTTGACGATTCAAATTTTTCGTCTAGCATTTCCAACGTATTCGGGCGAAATGTTTTTGTTCCACCTACAACTTTCATAGTTATTTTCGTTTCTCAGCGTGGACCAACGAATAAATATGCGTCGCGTGTCTATATTTCAGTGTTCCACTTTCCCGTGTGATTCCATGGAAATCGATGATCGTCGCTTGGAAATGGTCCCCTATTAGCACGAGTAAATATATCGTTAGATATCAGTCATCCGCGAGCTATAGAAAGCTTTAGGTTCACGCAAAACGTATTTCGGTTTTAACCTCTTGCGCTGGAAATTAATTTAAAGATTTAGCAAAGTGTTGCGTGAAGAATTTTTTACCGATTTCACCCAAATATGAACACTAATTTTGTTTATTAATCATTTTATATAGAATGATACATTTCAGAATAACCCAGTATATGTAATACAATAAGACCATCGATGTTTATAAGACGTCAATGGCAATTTAGAGACAAAAATGTTTCGACATGCGCGGTGCGTCTTTCCAGCGTAAGAGGTTAAGGGTGGCGGTTAGTGAAATAAAGTTTCTCCTTTAATTTAATGTTTTATAGTTTATCAAGTTTTCAAAGGCACGTTACATTATAGAAATATATTTGGTTCACTTAGAAGAAAAATGTCTTATTTTATAAGAACAATGTACAACACACAGTAAACAATATATTACATACTTGAATGCAGTTGTACGTTTATTCATTCGACGTTATTTGTAGAATGGAATTTAGAATTGATCACATGTTGTAAATGTAATTAAACTCTCGTATTGTCATTGGTTTCGAATAAATATTAGTGACACTCGCTGTACCTGCTAACGGAAACAAATTTAAATGTCCAATCGGTCGCAGAAATAGAGGGCTTCCCAGATAGTCGTGTCTCGCGTAGATAACATAAATGCCCGAGGACCGAGACTTAAGTACAACGTAGGAGACGTTGGTCACCCAATAAATTTTAAGGGTGTATGACTGTAAGAAGTACTCTCAATTCCATTCGAATCTTCTTTTAGCGGACAAATAATCCCTTCGTACGATTACTGTGATCTTTCTTTTATGAAATTGAATCTCGTGAGAAATATATCCAACAGCGTAATATATATATATATATATATATATATATATATATATATATATATATATATATATTATAATATAGTTATATATATAGTTCATTTTATACAACTCTTCTTTATTATATTCTTTTATCATTTCCGTTTGAGTATCGTGATAATATAATACTAAAATATTTTAAGTTCGTTTTAATTATAATTAATACACTGGTGGAGAGAAGATCCTGATTACTTAAAATATTATTAATTGTAAGTTCATTTTGCGAATTAAGCGATTTAAGAATGATAAATTTGAACAGTTTTTAATATTTAGATACGGATTGATATTACGAAAACCTAAAGAGAATGATTAAACAATATTTCCAGATATTAATAACGAAAAAGCAATGCAAAATTTTATATGAAACGTACATTCCGTTGTTTCGAAGTTACATCGATAACTTTGAAACCACGAGAAACGCAACCGAGGGGGAATGTTTATTTACTGTTATTAGAACATTTGTCTTTCGGCAGCAATAATTCTTTTGTTCCCCGTCTTCGGTATTATAAAAAATTGAGATATAGCACATAGTCAAGTTATATTTACGTCAGCGAGGAATGATCTACTTATTTTACAATAATTGCGTTACCTACGTTAGAATACAAACTTTATTTATAGCTTTAAATCAGAATTATATATTTAAGGGATTAGATTAAAAGTTACATTATAGTAATTGCTCGAGAATTGCTCGTGAACAATCGCAATGTAAGATGATTGATGCCAACTAAAAATGTTTAATAGCGTGAATAATTAGATAATAGTGTTAATTAAAAATTGTGATATCAAATGATCAATAATTCTTTCTATTTATGTTTGCTACGAAAGGATAAGCAACATATAAAACTCTCAAGATCCTCCTGGTAGCCAGCGTGTTAAATAATTCGCGTACAATTCAAAAATTTATTTTCATCCATTTCTCGATGTCCAATTTCGAAACCAATTTCGAACGACTCTCGGCGAAATCATTGTTATAAATATTCCTCAACAATGCACGATAACATACTACAGTATACTTCGCGCACTGTTTTAGTTGCGGAGTTTTCCGAGAGCGAATAGAACTTTATAACAGACGAGATTCTCGAGGCGAATTGCCTTCTCTCCGCAGTTTCTAAAATTTTTATATACGACGTCTTCGATATCTACATTCTGCCAAACAGCCTTACGTAATTTTTCCGATGGCGTGCAATTTTGTAACCCTACAATCTGAATGTATTTCTGAGTGCAGTCGAGACGTACGGATACATAGAACGGAAGACAATATTTTTCTCAAGCTCTCGAGATTCATTTATTAGGAAAGGATTTACTCACGGTTCTTGTTTCTGCTTTTAACTTTTTATTGTACGTAAAAGTTCAAAACCACTTTTGGAATGGGAATACATACAGACCGATGGTGAACGTTGTTTCCTTCTGGATTTATTTATTCAACTTCATCGCTTCCTGTACCCACTGCTACTAAATAAAAAATGCAACACAAATTCCTGCTGCAAATGCTAGCGTCTGCAGTTAAATACGAACCTTTGAATTCTATATGGTCACAGCTATTTACATAGCTTATACGTTTTTAACCCCTTGACATGTGGACTGTCACGGTGATCACCGGTGACCGAAGTCTCTAAAATGCTTAAACTTTTAGTATTTCTAATACTATGTATTCTCCTCTATTATAAAGGAATACACCTTACTATAACAAAACGCTGGAAATTCTCGTGGCAGTCAACGCGTTAAATTACGATTCTGTACCAACAGTTCTAGGATTTGTGAATTCCAAAGATTCTCTTGAAAGTGATTTTTCCCGGTGATAAAATTCAAATTAATAGTATATCCAAGTTCCTATATTACAGACTTTTTACATGGAAAATTCAAATCATGCTCTAATATTTTGATTTGCTTAATAAAAGCATGTTTTAAGCTCTGAAGATTTTATAAATTCTGACCTTTATGTTGTTCATATAACACTGAAATATATGATATTTATTTATTAAATTCTACCCTATAAAATTGTTGTTTATGTAGATCGGGGAAAAACGATATATTTTCAGAATAGCAATCGTTATTCTATCAGGATATAAATTATTGCTGTCGATAACTGTTTTCTAACGAAATTTCAAATATCATATTTCACCTTTTTCAAAAGTCAACTTTACATCCAATGAATCTGATCCAATAAAATCCTTGAATGCTTTGATTACTGAATTGACAGGGATTAAAAGTTACGATGATTAAATACGAGATTAAATAAAATTTGGCGAGTGATATAAATATCTCTAATGTACGCATATATACGTATATATACATACATATACACACGTTCATCGTAAAATAATTGATAAAGGGAGGTATATTCCGTGACGAGCGATTATCCGTTAAACGGAAACCAATAAATCTTCACGCGAAAAAAATTAAGGTATAATAAAGGACGTGACATAAATTGTCGAATATATAATATTACACTCTAGTACAAAAAAGGGCGTTTTGTGTCGCCGCCTCAACAACCGCGAATATATGTTTGCGAAGAATTTAATATTTCAGAAGGAATTATACTTTCAGATGCGAATAAAGTTTCGAGGGTCGCACGAACCAGAAATGCAAATTCATTTTCAGTGATACCCTCTGACAAAAATGTAAATTGATTTCGTGCCACTACAGGCCGTTTAGTTCGATGTATATCGATCCCTTCTCAATCTTTATTACTTCCCATAGCCATAACTAGATTACTGTTTCTCTTATAGATAACTCTTCCGCTACATTTAAATTTCATATTCATCACTTAGCCGGAATGTAACGCTTCAAAATGAATTCCGAGTTTATTATTAGCGAGATATGTTAAGTAAACTTTAATATTATTTTATCTCTCTTTACATGGTGTCAAGTTACTTTTCAATTTCGAGTACCAACACAACACCAACCAACACCAACAGTTATTTTGTGAAAATAGAATATTGGTAATAATATGAAACCGTTGTCATGGAGCTTTCATTATTGGTCAAAATTTTACAAGATTTTGTGGAATGTATATTTAAAAGAATAAATTTCTGTATTTGCTGCTAGCGTGAACTGTATCATTAAAGAATAATAAAAAATATATTCTTAATGTTCTTTCTATTTATTAGCTATGGCACTGGAATCTACATGCATAATTGTACTGGCTGATAGCAAATCTTAGTAAA